GCGGGCGCGGAATGAAGGCCCGCGGCCCTGGGGGCTGAGGCGCCCGCCGCCTGGGGCGGGCCGCGCGTCCTCATGGAGGCCGGAGGTGAGTGCGGCCGCGGCGGGGCGGCGACCGAGGCGGGAGCGCAGCTTTGTTTCACTTTCGCTGTCAGCGGCGCCCGCCGGCCTCCTGCCGCCGCGCGGACCAGAGAGGGCGGCCGGTCGCATTCCCAGAGCCCATTGGGAGGCCGCCGGGCCCGGGTCGCCTGCGCCATGGCCGGGCTTCTGGCCTCGGCGCCCACCGCGGCTCGGTAGTAGCGGCGGCCGCTGGGTGGGTGCCTGGGAACGGGGTGGGGCCCGGGACGCTGCCCCGGGGTGACACGTAGGACCCGACACCCTAGTGGGTGAGGGCCTGCCCTCGTCCACAGCTGTCACCACGAAAGCTCAAAGCGAGAGCACGGGATGAACTTGCTGGCCGCCTGGAAAGCGCGGAGATGCTAGGGATGGCTAGACCTGCAGCCCCCCGGGGCTTCTCCCTGAAGGGCCCTTGTCCCTGTGTCCTGCTCACGGAATAGTGGCGTGGGTTGAGGGGATCTGTTGCCAGACTCCCCAAATACCGGAGCTTAAAGGCAGTTTCCGTAGGGGAATTTCAGGACTCAAGGCCTAGGGCTCAGACTTGTTCCAGGGAAGTTGTAGCTTCAGCTAGGTCTGGAGGACTCGGATGCACCCGAGGGCTTGCAGTGTCGGGTGGGTTGTTTGAAAGGCCGGTATTCCCTGGGGTGGTGTCCCCTTTGCATTTAGGAAATGACATTTCTTTGTTTGCAGGAGCCGGGCTTTCAGGGAAAGGTGTCGCGGCAGCTCTTCTCCCGGTTTCCATCTAGATGAAAGCCTTTCAGTATCATCCCCCATAGAATTCTGTTTAAATGGCCCCTACTGTTTTCTTCTGTGACTCTTTATAGCTTCCGTTCTCATTTCCATTGATGCCTCAAAGTTGTATCTCAAAGCAGTCTGTGACCAGACTCCTTTTTTAACCGGAATCTGTTCCAGTGCAGAGGTTTTTTTTTCCTTAGTGATTGACGGCTGAGTTGTAGGGGCGCGGGCAGAGCTGTTGGGAGCTGCCAAGCTACTGTTAAAAAAGCCAGACGCTAGGCCAGAGTTTTACCCTCTTTTCGAACAGAATAATGTCTATTGTAAAGGGATTAGAAATAGAAAACGGTAGAACGGTGGTTATAGTTAATTTATTCATTCAATAAATACTTATTGAGTCTCTGGTATGTGCCGGGTACCCTCTAGGTCCTTGCAATATGATAGCAATATGTAATTTAAACGTAGAACGAGAAACAGCTGAGATTTAAAAGGATAACATATCTAAAATATTTCAAATTGATTCAGTCATGTGATGAAACAGGAATGTTTTGGAGACTGAAGAATTTTTCTGTGTGGGCGTTTTAACTGCCAGTATTTCTGCACCACGTGGTGCGTGCAGTACCTAAGGAGGCCAGAAGAGGGCGTCGGAGCCTTTGTACCAAGTTACAGATGGTTGTGAGCCGCCAGGTGGCTCTGGGAATGGAACAGCAAAACCCGCCCATACGCAGTAACAGCTGAGCCATCGCTACCACTAAGATTTTACAATGCGGTGTGCACTTTATAATTTTTAAAAACTATTCTTCGATTTGCTTTTGTATATTCTGTGTGTGAGTGTTTTGCCTGCATGTATGTCTGTCCACCATCATGCATGTACCTGGTGTCTCTGCAGAGGCCAGGAGAAGGTATCAGATCCCCCAAAACAAGAGTTACAGACAATTGTGAGCTACCGTTTGGGTGCTGGAGATTGAGCACAGGTCCTTGGCTCGAGTAACAAGTGCTCTAACTGCTGAGCCATCTCTCCAGTTCCTTGTACTATGTTCTTAATAGACCTGGCACACTTGGGGGCCTCAGTCACTACTTGTGGCTGGTGACTAGTGACAGGCACAGTGGTTTGAGGAGAAAATAGACCCCAGATGCATGCTAACCACAAATGCAACCCAGAATCCCCTAAAGCTAAAGGACAGTGACTTTGTCACCC